CAAGAGGAAGCCCCTGTTCTACACCATCAACCTCATCATCCCCTGCATCCTCATCACCTCTCTGGCCATCCTGGTCTTCTACCTGCCCTCAGACTGTGGGGAGAAGATGACCCTGTGCATCTCGGTCCTCCTCGCTCTCACCGTGTTCCTGCTGCTCATCTCCAAGATCGTCCCGCCCACCTCCCTGGCCGTGCCGCTCATCGGGAAGTACCTGATGTTCGCCATGGTGCTGGTCACGTTCTCCATCGTCACCAGCGTGTGTGTGCTCAACGTGCACCACCGCACGCCGTCCACACACACCATGCCACCCTGGGTCAAACGCCTCTTCCTGCATCGTCTCCCGTCCTTTCTGTTTATGCGTCGGCCCGGCAGCTCCAACATCCGCGAGAGGTTCCGCCAGCGGCACCGGCCGCGCTCCTGCTCCGACCCGAAGCCGAGGAACGAGGGCGTGGCTGCGGCGGGGGGCATAGGCGTGGCCGGGGGTTCAGGTTCGAGCGGGGCAGACTCGTTCTTCGTCAACGAGGAGTCGGCTAAGCGCTTCGGCTGGAAGATCGGCGACCTGTCCGAGAACACAGAGTTCAGGAAGCGGATGTCGTCCAAGTGCCACGCCGACGTGGAGGAGGCTGTGGACGGGGTGCGATACGTCGCCGAGAAGATGAAGAGCGAGGATAACGATGAAGGGGTGAGTGTGTGTGTGTGTGTGAGTCTGCCCTCGGGTTGAGGAACGATGACCTTGATATCATGTGAGCAGATTTTTTTTTTTGGGCATTTTTATGTTACGGTCGACTTTATATTAACGCAGTGGAGGTTTGAAGGAAGTGTATCTAAATATGTTTAACTTCCATATAATTTCCTGGTAATTGCAGAACATCTATGCCAGATGAAATTATTGACACGGTTGAATGAACCTGCCAGTTCCAATTGGAAACACCTCTACTTTCTTTTTGGTCCAATACAACACCATCATTTACAAACCGATAAGAACTATTGACGAGAAATACTGATAGGTAGCAGTTGGGAAGTAGGTAATACGTCTTAATAAAATTAAAACTTTACTTTGATTAAGACTTTTTTTCTACAGTGTTTTGCATTACTTTTGCCGGGGATAAATGTGAAAACAGTGAAAAAACCTCAATTGAATATATACACTTCACATACTTCAGTGTCTTTTCTGTGAGAAAATGGAGACGAACTACGCAACCACAGGTGTAATAATACAGTATGGTTTGAGGGGAGAGTTGGTTTGAATACAAACCGCTGCAATATATCATATAATCACCCAGGTTACACATGGATGATATATTCTACATATTATCCCTCTATATTCACCCAGATTACACATGGTGGATATATTCTACATATTATCCCTCTGTTATCACCCTGATTACACATGGAGGATATATTCCATCCCATAGGCCATTTAGAAAACAGTGTGCTGTTGTACAGAATTGAAATGTTGTGGCCTTTTAACTTAAAGGGAGATTTGGGGGATGAAAACCCAAATGATGTGAACACGAGACACGGATGTGACACGGATGAAAAACACAGAGTTATGACGGACCAGACAGACGTGACCTTTAGACAAACTACAATGTTGAAATAATTTTCCATGACTTTCTGAGTGTTCTATTTCTGCCATGTTAAATATGGCTACTCTCAGTGTGTTGGTGGCTTTATTAACCACGTACATTGAACGTCCTATTTACTATTAGTTATAGGCGTCCTTCAGCTGTTATGGCTGTCATGTTTTACTTCTATATGGGCTTATTATTTACCAGAATTGATTTCCTGTTCACCCGGTCCTGGCTGTGTATTGTTTGAGTCATATTGTCCCTTAACAATAAAATAAAAGCCTGTCAACAGTATTTTAATTAGGGTCACCAAATACAGTTTTTCTTCATTGCTTTGGTACCGGTATCACAACTATGTTGTAACATCTCACAACTCTCAGTACAAAAAATAAGGCAGGTTTTTTTCAAACATGTCATAGAGGTGGACATGGGAACTGTCATAGAGGTGGACATGGGAACTGTCATAGAGGTGGACATGGGAACTGTCATAGAGGTGGACATGGGAACTGTCATAGAGGTGGACATGGGGACTGACATAGAGGTGGACATGGGAACTGTCATAGAGGTGGACATGGGAACTGTCATAAAGGTGGACATGGGAACTGTCATAGAGGTGGACATGGGAACTGTCATAGAGGTGGACATGGGAACTGTCATAGAGGTGGACATGGGGACTGACATAGAGGTGGACATGGGAACTGTCATAGAGGTGGACATGGGAACTGTCATAGAGGTGGACATGGGAACTGTCATAGAGGTGGACATGGGAACTGTCATAGAGGTGGACATGGGAACTGTCATAGAGGTGGGCATGGGAACTGTCATAGAGGTGGACATGGGAACTGTCATAAAGGTGGACATGGGAACTGTCATAGAGGTGGACATGGGAACTGTCATAGAGGTGGACATGGGAACTGTCATAGAGGTGGACATGAGAACTGTCATAGAGGTGGACATGGGAACTGTCATAGAGGTGGACATGGGAACTGTCATAGAGGTGGACATGGGAACTGTCATAGAGGTGGACATGGGAACTGTCATAGAGGTGGACATGGGAACTGTCATAGAGGTGGACATGAGAACTGTCATAGAGGTGGACATGGGAACTGTCATAGAGGTGGACATGAGAACTGTCATAGAGGTGGACATGGGAACTGTCATAGAGGTGGACATGAGAACTGTCATAGAGGTGGACATGGGAACTGTTATAGAGGTGGACATGGGGACTGACATAGAGGTGGACATGGGAACTGTCATAGAGGTGGACATGGGAACTGTCATAGAGGTGGACATGGGAACTGTTATAGAGGTGGACATGGGAACTGTCATAGAGGTGGACATGGGAACTGTCATAGAGGTGGACATGGGAACTGTCATAGAGGTGGACATGGGAACTGTCATAGAGGTGGACATGGGAACTGTCATAGAGGTGGACATGGGAACTGTCATAGAGGTGGACATGAGAACTGTCATAGAGGTGGACATGGGAACTGTCATAGAGGTGGACATGAGAACTGTCATAGAGGTGGACATGGGAACTGTCATAGAGGTGGACATGGGAACTGTCATAGAGGTGGACATGGGAACTGTCATAGAGGTGGGCATGGAGAATGATCCCCTATGTAATTGTGTGGGACAATGTTTGGTTCCATCATGCAGTAGTCTGTAAGCTGACAACAGCAGAGCGTGCTCATTGCATGTTCAGTTTTCGCACAGCAATCATACATGTAGAGTGTGCTATCTGCATTAATTCCGGTTTTTAGCTCCTTAAAGGTGGTGTGAATTAAGTGCTTAGGGAAGGTGCACCATCCTAAATTACGAGCTCTCAGAACATATCTCCACTCCAACGGTCTTGTGCTTCTGTTGTCAAGACGGCGTGAACTAATTGTAACCTGCTTTCGTTTTTTTCGCGCCACAGGTCATCGAGGACTGGAAGTACGTTGCCATGGTGATTGACCGGCTGTTCCTGTGGATCTTTGTGCTGGTTTGCATTACTGGTACGCTGGGCTTGTTCATGCAGCCCCTGTTCCAGAGCTACAACACGCCCACGGCAGATGACCTGGAGCAGAACTGACCTTTGACCCATGACCCTGAATCCCCCCACGAACACCCTCTTGGGTTGCAACCCCAACAGACAAAACGGCTGCTTATCAACACCCAGAAAACCAAACGGTGTTGATTCACACCCTCACGTACACGCACAGCCCACCTGCCTTATTTCAGTTTTCAAATGTGTGTAACTGTTCTTGTTGATTAGCATATATATTTATTACTGTCCCCAATAATGAAATCAGACAGGTGACTTTGGATCGGTCGGCCGGAGTAAGACATCACTGCCACAGCTCCATTTGGTTAATAATGTGTTATGCTATACTGACCTAACATTTACCAAGTTACACTGACGTGCAAGACGGTGGTGCTAGAACAAACTACTGACAATCTGCTTGGTCACACCTTTAATTATTATTATTTTAGATTAAACTTTATCGTCATTGGACGGTACAAGTACAGCACAACGAAATGCAGAAGTTGAAGTGCAACAGAGCAGTGCAAAAAGATATGGAGTACAGTGTAAGGATTTACAATTTAATTTAATAAGTACATTTGCAGGCACTCAGCTAAACTAGGTAGCAAATTGCAAATGTGCAGAGGACACACCAGCGGAGAACAAATGTGCAAGTGATAAACAAATAGCACAATCGATAAGCATTGTGCAAAAAGGTGGCCCAGTTGGTTACCAGGATGTTAGTAGATAGAGGGGCCTTCTTCAGCTTCCTTAAAAAGTACAGGCGCTGTTGTGCCTTTTTGACCATGGTTGTGGTGTTGAGGGACCAGGATTGGTCATTGGAGATGTGGACACCCTGGAATTTGTAGCTGGCCACACGTTCCACCGTGGTCTCATTAATGACAACTGGGGGATGTATACAGCTACATGTCTATTCGTGTTATCTACAATCAGTTCTTTGGTTTTCTTGGCCAGGTTGTTATCTGCACACCAGGCCACCAGGTGCTTGATATCATCTCTGTTGGCTGCCTCATTGTTGTACCTGATCAGACCAACTACTGTGGAATAATCTGCAAACTTGACGCAGTCGTGGGTGAAGAGGCAGTCGGCGAAGCACACAGCCCTGTGGGACACCAGTGTTCAGGTCAGGGTGGAGGAGGTGAGGTTGTCCAACCTGACAGACTGAGGTCTATTGGTTAGGAAGTCTATAGTCCAGTTACAAAGAGAGGGGCTGAGACCAAGGTCTTGGAGTTTGGTAACCAGCCTAGAGGGGTTGACTGTATTGAGTGCTGAACTGAAGTCTACGAGCAGCATCCTCACATAGGTGTTGGTTTTGTCCAGCTGGGTCAGGGCAGAGTGGACAGAAGTGGAGATGCTGTCCTTAATAGACATCTTAGGGCGATGGCAAACTGATGTTTGGAGGAGTTGGTGTAGCTCAGTGGGAGAGTGCATGCTTTGTATGTATGATGTCCTTGGTTCAATCCCCGTTGCAAATGAGAATTTGTTCTCAATCGGCCTACCTGGTTAAATAAAGGTTAACAAAAGTATATATATGTGTGAGGGAGGCAGGACTTAAGGTGGGCCAATAGTCTTTTAAAGCTTTCATGATTGTGGGGATGATAGCAACAAGTCAAAGGTAATTTAGGCATGACGCAGTCAACTGCTTCGGCACTGGCATCATGGTTGTGGTCCCCAGCCAGCTGACAAGCACACGTCCAGGGACACCGTCAGGACCGGCCGACTTGTGTGCGTTCACCCTGCTACAGAACATACCTCAGTGATGAACAGACTGAAGGGGACGACGTCTGAGGAGAGCGCCAATTTAATGGCTAATCGCCTAATGTCATGAAATTTGGTACATAGGTATCTCTCCTCATGAGATTCTCTGCTGTGATGCACATTCCTCCATTATATAATTTGTAAAAAAAAACATCAAACTCTACTCAACTGGCACCAAATGACTGATCTGCAAATGTGGCCTCCTACAGCATATTCCATTTCACATTTATACCTAAAATATTAATACCTAAACATGTTATTGTTCCGTTCAAAGATAAAAATGGACCAGTATGAACAAGTCAGAGATATTCGGATTATAACACAATTTAGACCGTGTGGCCAATCCTGTTACGACACAACAATTGCAATTCATATCAACCAACTAGTGCCACAATAAAAGGCACCTGTTAATATCTCTGAATCAAGTAATACTTATTGGTTTATTATATTTACTGATTGTGAGAGAGATGTTTTGTAGAATTCTGGCAGATGCTTTCATGGATTATCCTGTGTGTGTGTGTGTGTGTGTGTGTGGGGGGGGCATGTTTTCTCTTTCCTTGTTTTTTAGGTCTCTGTTTTGCATGTTCACCAGGTGGACTAGATGCTGCTTCAGGAGAAGCAAATGGGGTAATATTAAATAAACCACACTTCATTTGTTACTGTTGTTCGTGGAGCAGACTGACAGATGGTCACCTGACCAGGACAATTTATTTCATGTTACTGATGTTCAGGTAGCAGACTGACAGATGGTCACCTGACCAGGACAATTTATTTCATGTTACTGATGTTCAGGTAGCAGACTGACAGATGGTCACCTGACCAGGACAATTTATTTCATGTTACTGATGTTCAAAGCAGTTACAGGTCTGCGTGATGGACGTTGTTTTATTCCTGGATTGTTACCAGACAGATTGACATGCAGTTACAGACTCTGTTGTTTGGTTGTTCAGTTCTTTATTTAGCCTGATTTGGGGAAATCATTTTCTCAGTCTAAAGACCCTCACATACACAGATGCAATGCAGACACACAAAAACAAACAACACATTTGATTCTGACCCGAAGACATTGACAAAGCCATCTGTTTTTGCTACAGAGATAGACAGCTGTTCGGTTGAGCTCTGGCAGACATGTTGGGAAGTCTTGCTCTCTGAGCGGGATGGACACATTACACTGAACAGCAGGATTGTTGTTGTGCTGTGAAACAGGAAGCCTTGACTTGACTATTTCTGCTAACGCTAACATGTGCTAGGCGAGTGCTGTACATTATCTGGCACTGCTTCAGGTGGTCAGTCAACTGATGGCCTTTAAGGTGCTTACAAATAGTTTTCGAACGGTCTGGATCGTGTGTTTTATGCCATGTTCTAGAGGGAAATTATTTTGTGTGGAGAGAAAGGGTGAAACTACGGGCAGTAGCTATAACGCTAACACAAAACGACCATGAATCTTTTGTCACTTCCCTTTACTTCTCTTGAAGGTACAACAAAGTGGTTTTGGTAGAGCTGTGTTTGTTTGCACAACGGTTGCCACGGAAACATCAGCATCAACAAAATCCACTCGCAAAATTCAACAGAACGGCTTTGTGGTAGCTATTCTGTGTGGGGCCAGTATATACATTGCATTATATTATTCCAAAATCTTTAACCCAAGTCTGTGGTCAGTATTTATTTTATTAAATGTCACTGTTATATATTCACTCTATCACTGCTGCTCAGGCAAGCCAAATGAAAGACGTATCGATGCCAAGTATGACGTGAGTTACATTATTATCTAATGTATTTTTTTCAGTGAGAAGATAAAAAGGGGGAGACTGTACTTTTCGTTTCACAGGCCAGTTCTGTGACCTGTTATTGTTTGTCTTCCTGGACTGATGTATTCTGGGTAACACTGAGGCTGATGTCACGTCGAAGGGATCAATAAAAGGAAATCAAAATGTGTTTGTAGCCATTCAATTGTGCATCAATCCGTAGAGTATGGCAAGCATAGCACAACCAACGCCAGGACTGTTGTACCTTAGGGGTATTTAGTACTAAAAATTCTGTTGGTGGTACAGTAACGAAAAAAGGTTGGGAACCACTGATCTCGTTCCTGAGGATAAGCAGTAACAACTAAATCGGCTCAATGTCAGGTAAATGGTTCAAATCCTGGCCACAGTTTGGCTGTTTACCAGACAGGGCTGTCGTGTCTTGGGTTGCCCTGGCGACACCTTATCATCAGATACCAGTAAGCTCATTGGTGGTTGTTGACTGGTGCTCCTCCCACACGATGCCGGTTTCTACCAGCGACCAGTTCCTGGTTGACGAGAAGCAGAAAGGCCAGGCTAGTTTCTTAGCTGGCTGATGTGCATCGGAGGACACGCGCCTCAATCTTCCACTCTCCCGGGCCGGCTGGGAGTCACCAACACCAGGCGGGGGGGCATAACTGCATATTGGACTTGACAAAATGGAGCAGTGATTCCACTTCACCTGAATGCATGGATACAGCTGGTGCAGCATTATAATAATAGGGTGTTTATTTTATTTCACTTACGGTATATCTGTCAAGTTTCTGTGTTCAGAAGCTAAAACTCACTAATTCAGTGTTAAAATTGATACATTGCTCTAATCCAGAGTGACATACAGTTATAATTGATCACCATATGGGCTAGAATGTTCTAGAGTAGGGGTTCCCAATCAGGGGTACTAGGACCCCTGGAGGTACTTGGCCTATCAACGGGGATACTTGAAAACACTCATGACATCATAGGCTTAGTAATAAAATTAACATGAGGGGGTACCTTAGGGGTACTCAGTAATCAAATTCAGTAGGTGGTACAGTAACGGAAAAAGATTGGGAAGCATTGTGTTTGATTACTTCAGCCCTGTTGACCACAGATCGGCACAATTAATATTAAAGGGTATTTCATTCTGCGTTGAGATTCCTCATCTCTGTTGTTAGAAACACACTGTCACGTTTATTATGTTCTCCTTGGTTCTCTTCTGTTGTGCTTGGGTTTCATCATTTTATTGTGCTTGGGTTTCATTATTATGTTGTGCTTGGGTTTCATTATTTTATTGTGCTTGAGTTTCAAGTTTTTGTTGTGCTTGGGTTTTTATTATTTTGTTGTGCTTGGGTTTCATTATTTTATTGTAAATGGTAAATGCTGCGCTTTTATATAGCGCTTTTATCCAAAGCGCTTTACAGATCCTGCGTCACATTCACCCATTCATACACTGACGACCGCGTCTACCATGCAAGGCGACTGCAGGCTCGCCAGGAGCAGCTGGGGTTAGGTGTCTTGCTCATGGACACCTCGACAATTTCCCAGGAGGAACCGGGATCGAACCACCAACCGGGATCGAACCACCAACCGACTCAACCCACTGAGCCACTGCCGCCCCAAGAGCCTGTGCTTGGGTTGGGTTTCATTATTTTGTTGTGCTTGGGTTTCACTATTTTGTTGTGCTTGGGTTTCATTATTTTGTTGTGCTTGGGTTTCATTATTTTGTTCTGCTTGGGGTTTTATTATTTTATTTGTGCTTGGGTTCTAGAAAGCCTCTTGTGCTGCCCTGGTAGAACCCTATCACAGGGTTCCAGAAATGTGCTTTTGCAGTCCTGTTAGAACTCTTATAGGAGCCTTTTGTATTATGACTAAAGGATTTATAACCTCTATTCCGTCTTTCTAGTCCATATCAATGAAGTTCATTATTTCGGCATTTGTAGCTGCTGAGAGGTCCGGTCTATTGGACATCGGCCTACCTGTGTGTTCCTGGGTGAACTTATATCATGGTGAGACTTGTGGAGAATTAGAGACAGCTCTGATAAAAAATAACTTTAATAAAGGCTTGTCCTATAAAAGAAACGTCAGCATGCTGGGAGGAAAACAGGGTCTCTTTGAGTCTTTACTGAACCATAAAATGTCTACTGCTGCCAACTAGTGGTCACATCAGTCATGACATGGTCCCAGCTGTGGGATCAACGAATGGACACCAACCCACCAAGAGAAGAAGAAAATGAAAACAACAGGAAAGAACAATGAGGTGAAGAGAGAATTGATTTAGAGAGAAGAGAGAGAACAGAGAGAGAAAGAGGGAGAGAGAGGCAGAGCGTTTGAGTTTTAAATCACTCTATTGGGTCCTTGGAGCCCACAACACCACAAGAACATCCTCACTCCCCACTGCTAGCCTTGCTCGTTAAGAACATAGCAGTGGTTCAATGAAAGTAACTATTTTTGGGCAACAGTAGGCTGTAAATATAAACAATGTCCTAGCAACAGTACTATATGAATATAAACAATATCCTAGCAACAGTACTATATGGATATAAACAATGTCCTATCAACAGTACTATATGGATATAAACAATTTTCATGCAACAGTACACTGTAGATAGTTACAAAGCTCTGGAGATGGAGAAGTATTTTTGGAAAGGAGCGGCCTGGAAGCGTATCCCTGGGCAACTAGCTCCCCCCCTGGTTACAGCCTGAGAAGGAAGAGTCTAAATGTAGACGATGTGAAGAGGGAACAGAAAAATATGTGTATTCTGTATTCATGTTTGTGTGTGTATTCTGTATTCATGTTTGTGTGTGTATTCTGTATTCATGTTTGTGTGTGTGTATTCTGTATTCATGTTTGTGTGTGTATTCTGTATTCATGTTTGTGTGTGTATTCTGTATTCATGTATGTGTGTGTATTCTGTATTCATGTTTGTGTGTGTATTCTGGATTTATGTTTATGTGTG